GATGAAAAATGGTAAAGATATTGATACTAATGATAGCAGTAATAATAGCAATAAGACTATGAACAGTGGCTGTAATTGTAGGAACACGAGAGGGGGGGTTTCATGATCCGAATCTGCTGAAATTCGTGTTTTCTCTGTGTGTCCGATCGCGTTTGAACGCAGATTTCTTAAAAGACGAGGCTTGAAAGAATGATCATTTATCTGACATTTAGAAAATAACCCTATTATGTGCGATAATCACTTAATGGACCGAGCCGCTCGACTAAATTTAGTTAGTGTCTGGTCAGGCGTCTGCAATAGGTCGAAATGTTGATGTGTTCCACCAACTGAGCTCCCACTTTGTCCTGACAGCAGGGAGCATGCTTTTGTAACCGTTTTTCTGTCTTATCCTCCGTGGATTGGCCTTCTTTTGCTCCCTGTTCTGACTAACCTTTCCTGTAATCGGAGCTTTTGCTGTTTTTTGTTGTTGTTTTTTTTGGTCTTCTGCGAAATCAGAGCCACAAGATGAGACGTTATGTGATGAAAAATCATGGTTTAACGTAGTATCTTTTTCTATTTCAAACTCTTAGCAGTGTCTTGGTTGGTATAGCAAACTGCCGAGCCCTCGTTTTTGTCCAGACGTCTCGTTTGGTGGTTCTGATTCGCCTTTTGTCTCCCTAAACCTCTTACTCTCTCCTCTTCCTGTTTCCCGAAAAAGACGGAACACATTCCTCCATACGACGTTGTGCCTTCCATGCGGCCGGTGGTTCTGGTCGGACCGTCGCTGAAGGGCTACGAGGTGACCGACATGATGCAGAAAGCCCTCTTTGACTTTCTCAAACACAGATTCGAAGGAAGGTAAGTTCCGAACGGGTGACCTTTGCGAAACGCAAGATCCCATCCTGTTCCCGCTTCCTTCCCTCATTCCGGCTCCCTCCACGTCCTCTGGCTGGTATTTATGGGTCCCCCGGGGCTAACAGAGGGAGTGTGTAACAAGTTTGTTTGGCCTGACGATGTGTGCTGCTGCTTTAAATAGGCCCTCTACATGTCCTTAATAGGCCATACTGGGCCCTGGAGCGGAGCCGGGTTCTCCTTAGTCAAAGCCCAGGCCACGAAGTTACACAACACCAAGATCTGCCCGGGACGAATAAAGCAGAAGATGGTCCAGTTTGATCATTTCCACTTTTTCTCTTAGTCAGTTAGTTAGTCTTAGCTCGCCGGACAATAGATTTTTCTCAAATGCACAGTTCTTTTTCTCACTGTTGACCGTTATTCGTCCTATTGGGTTAGGGTTAGGGTCTTCCTCTTCCAACGATCGGCTTCAGTTAAACAATGACTAAAGGCCTGTTTGACAGTAAAACCTTCAAGGATTTTCAGCATCTCACTGGTGTTAGATGGTCGATCACGAATTGGGACTATCACGAGCATAACATCAGGACCCGAACGCAGGCGAGGGAATCAAATCAAAGTCGTTGAATCCAAAAATGGTTGGTACACGGACAAGAAAATGATCGGGCTAAGGTACAAAAACGGCAGGCAGAAATGGTGGTCAAGAACAGGTAAAAGGTCAGGAATACGAGGCAGGACGAGACTAGGAAGATGCTTGGATGACTGACAAAAAGACAAGTACGAACACGCTATGGACACGAGACAGACTGGGGAATATATACACAAGACAGGGAAGGAAACAATGGGACACAGGTGGAGGTGATTAGGGAGGAGTCGGGAAATCAACAGAGAGCAAGTGGGAAAGCAACACTGGGACCAGACAGGAAGGACTACAAAACAAAACAGGAAACGTACCAAGACACCAATGACAGGGACTAGTTGACAGTCGTTGAATAGCAGATTAAGGCCCCTATTTACTAAACCAAATATTAAGACCTCTTATAGCGAGACGATTGTTTTCAAGTAGAACCAGAAGACTGGTGTGTGGGGACTAACGTGCACCGAATTTTGTTTTCACAGTTCAGGACGTGGACGTCCGGTTAACCATTTAAAGCCCGATCCAAGAAAAATAGGATGAATATTGGATTTTTTTAGTCTGAAGTCTTTCTTTTTCCCCTCAAGAAAATATGAAGAAATGAAAACAGAAATTATTTTGATCAAATTAGCGTACAATATATCTAAAATATATTTTGGTGTAGTCTTCTACTGGCTGTTATCAGGTATATCTGAATGTGTACAACAGGGGTTTGAGCAAAGCTTTTACCACTGAATGACGCTAAAAGTCTCAGATCCAAAAGACTTCAGAAACCGTATTAAATATGATAGATATGGCATTATAGGGTTAAAGGACA